GTTCCATGACTTTTTTTGCAACTGTTTGTCCATCAGTCCCAAAAGAAAGACCTCTGGTCTCAATTGTATGTTAATGTTTAAAACCCTCTGAATCAGTGTGGGTATTTGAATCCAAATTTTTCTAGCCTTTTTACACACCCACCAAGCATGATAAAATGTCCCTTCTTGTTGTTCACATTTCCAACATGAATTTGAAGTGCCTTTATACATTCTAGACTATTTCTCTGGTGACATATGTCAACAGTACATCATTTTATAAAAATTATCTTTAAGATTATAACAGTGTAAATTTCAGTCCTTTTAACCACATGTTTTCCTATTGTTCCATCTGTATATTAAACCCAAAATGTTTAGCCCACTTTATCATAGATTCTTTCACTTGTTCTTCTTCTGTTTCAAACTTCAATAGAAGTTTATACATTTTAACCTCCACCTCCATCTCTATCTGCCTCTGCCTTTTCCTTTATTTGTGTCCCATCTCTTTATTTATTAAACTGATATACCACCCAACTCCCAACAATTCTGGGTGATTCTCATCCTCTCTCTCTCTCTCTCTCGCTCTCTCTCTCTCTCTCTCTTACACCCACACACACACACACACACACTGCATTTTCCTTTTCTTTTTCCTTTGTCTGTATCTCTGCCTCATTCTCGTTCCCCTGGACTGTTTGTCATCATTGTTTGAATGTTTGAAATCAGCATTATTTAGAAATGAAGCCCTCTTTTTTCTTTGGTGTGGGGAAAGAAGAACATAGACAGATCAGCCCCTTGCTAGCAGGACATTTGAAAAATGCTAAGATCTGAAACAGAAAAGAGAAATCTAGCAAGCTTGTTCTGAATTTTATGAAAGTGTATTGTTCTTATGCTTCCTTTTCCTAGATAGGTATGTAATCTTTGGAGGCCACAGAGATTCCTGGGTCTTTGGGGGTATTGACCCAACCACGGGAGCTGCTGTTCTTCAAGAGGTTGCTCGCAGCTTTGGCAAGATGATGGAGAAAGGTAAGATTAGCAGACTTGGGGAAGCAAAATTGGAACACCCAAAGGAGAGATGGTATGTGCTGGGATTTAAATGTCAGTATGTGTTTGAAGTGGATCGTAAGTCACCTTGATCCTTTGCTCAATAAATATAGCAGGCAAATAAAACCAACAAATAAAACAAAATCCTTCTTCAAAGATAAAGCAAGGACAAATACATGTTTCTACTGAGCAGCTTAAACATCCTTTGTCATGCTAAAAGGGATTTATGCTTCATTTTTAAACCAACTCAGGTTTATTTGTGGATAGACATTGATAGGTTTGCAACATCAGCCATCAGCAGGTAGAGAATTAAGGTTTCTCTGTAACCTTAATTTCATCTGGGCAGGTTGGAGGCCTAGAAGAACAATCATTTTTGCCAGCTGGGATGCAGAAGAATTTGGGTTATTAGGCTCCACAGAGTGGGCAGAGGTAAGTGAAGGACCCTGTAAAATTGTATTATTTGTTTATTATTTAAATCAAATCTGTAGAGGCACCCAACTCTGGATGCTTACCACAAAAACAGCCAATTACCCCCCCCCACAAATACAACCAATAAAGTGGCCCAAAAGCAGAATAAAAATTGCAGAAACCCAGAAGAACAAGACTTGGTTGTGCAATGAAAACAAGACCTCATCCCAGAACCTGGCAGGCATTCCAGAGGGCAGGATCTGTTAGATGACATGGTTTCAAGGATGGGACCACAAACCTGCCCACCCTGCCAGATCTTATAGGGGACCAGAGACAAGGGAGAAAGGTGGTCCCTTAAGTATCCAGGCCCCATGCCATAAAGAGCTGTATAGTCATCATCAGCACCTTGAATTGCACCTGGAATTCTCAACCAGTTGCAATTTCCAAGTGGTCTTAGAATGTAATGCTGAACATAGCAGAATTTTCTCATATTTTCTCTTCATTGATAAGCAAAACACAACTTTTTTTTTCCGAAGTTTCAGAATAAAAGCCCACGGATGGATCAGAATCAAGATTATGATTCATAAGGAAGGGGATTACCTAGGATTCTGCAAAATTCCCCTATTTATTTAAGAGGACTTGCCAAATGGTAGAAAAGAGTTCATGGATGTTTGAACATGATTGTTAGTATTTACATCAGGACTGAAGAGCGTTTGGCTCCAGATATTGCTGAATCTCAAGTCCCAGCTTACATTGGCTGTGGTAGCTAGAGCTTCTGGGAAATGTAGTTCAGTGACTTTTGGAAAGCTTCCAGTTCCCCACTTTTGGTTTATATGCTATTCATAATAGTTCATAATAGGTATGATACAGTTAATTGTTTTTCTATCTTGCAAATACATGTTTTTTTGCAATTGCAGGAAAACAGCAAAATTCTTCAGACACGGGCTGTGGCTTACATCAACACTGATTCTTCCATTGAAGGTGAATGTCCTTTAGTACACATAGTCAACCTTGGCTGATCTTGTAAAATTTAAGTAGGGTTGAGCCTGGCTAGGACTTGGATGGGAGATGACCAAGAAATTACAGGCCTATGGGCTAGGCCATAAAACATTGAAAAACATTCTGGAAGAAGATAAAACCATTTCCATACCATCCAGGAAAACGGCATGGGTGTGTCTAAAACATTATAGGAATCAGGCTCAAGTCAAAGGAGATTTTTCCTTATGGCAGTATCCTGAGGGTCAAAATTCTCCAATCTTGTATTAGAGGATGGGTGCAGCACACCCATACAAGATAATAATCTACAATCAAATCATGTGTTCCAGTAGCTATAGTTGTAATCAGGAAGCCAACCACAAACCATGGGAACAAATGGTAGTTTGCTGCCTTAAAACAAGCTACAGTTTATTTAATAATTCCATTCTATATCGTTTTAAACCAAATCATACACACAATCGTAGTGTGGATTAGGATTAGGATGCTAAGCAGGGTTGGATGCGGTCACACATGGATGAAAGACCATCTGGGAATTCCAGGGCTGTAGACTAGACTGGGGGGTTGAGTAACATCTTGGAAGAAGGCAGGGGCAAACCGTTTTTGTATTGTTGGAAGAAAAGGGTGAAGACATGTCCATGTGTCACCAGAAATCAAGGTTGGCTTGAAGGACACCCTTCATCCACTGAGCATTCAGACCATGCATGGATGGATGCTACCTCATTCTAAGGCAGTTTCTCTTTAGAAATTTATTTTCTAATAAGCATCTCTCCATCTCTTTGCAGCCCCCTTGGCTGTGTCCACTTCCTAATCTGCACAGACCCCCGTGGGAGGAGTTCCCTTGAATTTAATTAAGTAACCGGTAATGCTGCAGATAAGTGGGAAGCTACAGTGAAAGACAGAATGCCAACATCCATCCCACAGCCACCTTTTAAGTAAGGTAAGCCTAAGAACCCTGCCCTAATCTGTGAGATTTTTTTGCTGAAATGTTCTTCTACTTTGGGAAGAAGAAATAAAATTGGAATAATTTCTTTTCCAGCAGATTGAGGGTGAACAGATGAAAAACAGATGAACCAAATGGAGAATAAAATTGTAGCACAGTCAAACTGAGCATCTGCATAGCTGCAGAACTTCATTTTAAAAACAACAGATTATTATTAGCTGTTAAAGTACAGTCTCCTTCAAGTTGAGCCCAACTCTTTGTGATTTCATGGACCTGTTCACACATCCATGCAGTTTCTTGGCTTCTCTAGTAGGGAAGCTATTAGTCACTGCCTTCTTTCTAGCCTCCAGCCCTGGGATTTCCTTGTAGTCTCTCATCCAGGTACTAACTAAGTGGGGCCCTGCTTAAACTCTGAACTCAGAAAAGTTTGATCAAGTGCTGCGAGTTCTGAGACACTGATGTTATTACAATTACGATTGTTTAATGATGATGATGATGATATTACCAACTTACATGGGATAATGGTTACTGTACTGAAATCTTTGAAAAGATGCACAACAGTTCAGTTCTTAAGGAATCACCTTTATTTAGAAGTCTCACTGAATTTCAGAGTGTATTCTGTGACTATGTCTGCGTAGTACCACAGCTGCATTCCAGCTGGATAACTGGAATTCCACATTCCAGTTATCCAAGTGCAGAAATCATGTTGTAGCTTAGTTTAGAGTAGAGGAGATGCTGGTTTTTTCCCATTTTTGCCAAAGGATGCAAGTTACACAGTCTCCTGGGATTTGGAGAGTTGTTTTTTGGTTGTGTATGTAAGTATCCTTCTGTTTACATGTTAGCTGTCAGAAGTCTTATGTCTTGACTCATCTCAAGAGGAGGGGAAATTCTCTTGAGTGCAAGGAAGAGAGAAGATCTGCCCCTGTAGATAAATGCAGTTTGAGTGAGAAATAGAAGAGGCTGTATTTTAATTTGATTTTTTTTAAAAAGGGTATTTTTGAGAGAGAGCTGTTAGCACTGACTCAAAACAACTTCTGTATTTGTGTTTCAGGCAACTACACCTTGAGAGTTGACTGTACTCCTCTTCTGAACCAATTGGTGTATAATCTGACAAAAGAGGTATAGTTGGAGCATACACAACATGAGAAAAACAGTTTGTTTTGAAGCAGGAACGAAACTACCACATTCCAGAGATTCTTCCATGGAGCAGGCATGGTTCAGCAGAACCAACATCCAGAATGTTTTGGTTATTCTGGGATACAGATGAAACAAAACGCAGGCAGAGCAAGTAGAGGAAGGCCAATTCATGTTGCCATCCTCTCTCTCTCCTCCTCCTCCTCCCTTCAGCAGTTTCCCATCATGGCATATCCCTCTGACCCCCATATTCCCAGTGCCTCCCCTCCCATGTCTCTGCCATCCCAAACATAAACAAACTACAAATGTTGGCCATGTCCATTTTATGGTAGCTCTGATTAGGCACAAAATGATTGCTAGGCGGTTTACATGGACCCACTTGTACCTTAGATGATATGGTTGTGGCTACAGAAACAAGGACACAGCTTGCATCTGTGCCTCCCTGCCTGTGGTTTCCTCTCAGCACTTCCCAATGAGGCACTTTTATTTTTTTTAAAGAACGTATTAACCTATGAAGAGTGGGTTGTGATCATCTGGCTGGTCATCTCATGAACAGAATTGGTCATGCTTGAATGCATCCAGTCTTGCCTTTCCTAGCTGATGTCTGTACACTAAGCATGGATGTTCTCTGGGCAAGTGAAGATGGAATGGATTGAGCTCTCTAGGAGTTGGAATCCTGGGAAGACCCCACTCCCAAGGAAAATTACGAGCATAAATATCACCCATACTCAGTGCACAGAGGTTCCAGCATTAGTGTGCGGACAGCACATAATGTCAGCGGCAGGGCCATTCATCACATGGCACACAACAAAAATGGCAGCATGTAGTGAGGACACATCCTTTATTTTTGGCTGCTGCTTTTGATAACCCTTGTTATATCAAGTTATTAATAGGTTTGTAACCCAGGAAGAATCTCTTGATTGTGCTGGGTAAACATTCAAACAAACAACCGATCAACCAATTTGGATCTAGAGGATTTAAAATGCTTAAAGGAGTAACAATATGGATGGTAGATCAAGATTTATTTCCTGCTCAGATCTCAAGTCCTGATGAAGGATATGGAGGAAAATCTCTCTATGAGAGTTGGCTTGAGAAGGATCCTTCCCATGAAAATAATCAGCGACCCAGGTAAGATATGTTCTTGTCTACATTTTATTTGCATGCCTGCCCTGGGGAACTTTTGCACTCATGGGTGAACCATTACAGCTTTCACATTTTCTTTGTAACTATACATGCAGTGTTGTTCTATTCCCACATTGACCAGGATCGTACAACACACTAGGCTAGGCTCAAATGGAGTTGGCTCAGAGCATGTTGATGATGATGATGACGACGTATGCTGCTGAATCCTTCTGTGGGAGAACCTAGCCACTATCTCAGCATGTTATGTGAACTAGGTGATTGTGTTAAGCCCTAATATGGCTTATTTGTTAAAATATTGCCTGCTATGCAGATGTAGCAACTGTGGTTTGTTAACCTGAGTGTGGCATTTTGTGTGACGCCACCCATTACACTGGTCACCAGCACTGAACTCAAGCAGTGTATCAGGGTTTGTGAATGACTTCTTAGGCAGTTATCTGGGCAGTTATTCTAATTCAGTATTTGGGTCACAGAGATCTTCTGGAGCCGAGCAGTGCTTGAATCCAGAGTTAGAGAAGTGAGCTGAGCTCCAGTTAATCAGGAAGAGCTCATCATGTGTTTGTATCCCAGTTCTCTGAGAAGTGAGAAATCCAAGATGCCTTCTCCTCCTCCTTTTTTGATTTGAGGGTTTTTAAGAGGAGAAATGGATGTATTAAGCTTTAAGGCCTAAAAATCCAAATGCCTCCCCAGATTGGTTCTTTTCTTTTTTTTTTTCCTATTTTGGTGGTTAGCGGGCAAAATGAATGCCTTAAGCCCAAAAGCATGATATCTCCAGCCATGCTTCCTGTTTCTTACTGGCACAGTATAACCACCAGCTTTTTTAAAAAAAATTGCCACCCCTATTCTAAGGAAACCACCACTGTCCTTAGCCAATTTGCAAGGATCCATTCTTTTTATCCCCAGTGTAAATGTGCCAAATGTTACAAGAGGATTGAATCTCGCATCTCCCTTTCCTTCTTCTGTCTGGGCAGGATCAACAAGCTTGGATCAGGCAGTGATTTTGAAGCTTTCTTCCAGCGACTAGGAATTGTGTCTGGCAGAGTCCGCTACACTAAAAACCGAGTAAGCTGAACTGCTTGTTCAAAAGCTGTCACCAGCAGCTTTGGGGAGAACAGTCAATATATTAATTTTATTTAATGAATCTGTTTCTTAGCTGCTTGAATCACTGAAGCAACTGAATCACTGAAGCAAAAGTGATGTACAGGGAGTATAGATTAAAAACAAAAATGTAGTAACAAAAAGCAGCAGGTGTGTCAGACCACATTGGGGAAAAAGAATGCCATAAAAACATTCATCAGGAAGAGGGGGTATAAATCACTCTGCCCCAGAGCTTGGTGGAACAGCCAAAGCTTTATGGCTCTTCTAAAGGCAAAGGGGGTCAGAACCATATAGACTTTAGGGGGATGGTGCAGAGAAGGCACTTCTCCAATATCCTGCAAGATGGCATTGTTTCATGGATGGTTTTAAGTTTCTATGGAAGATACCAAGACTGAGTGTGACTTGAAGACACCTTTACTTTTAAAAAGTTGAATAAACTGCCAAGAAGCCCTCCTAAGTAAATAAAATTCAGTTTTATATTCTACAGATCTTTTAAATACTGCTTCATCAGAGCTAAGTTGGTCTAAAGTACAGCAAAGCCTTGTTCTAATCTAATATTCATTGCTCCCCAATGTCAGTTCAGTGATTGTACATCATCACAGTGATCTACACCTTTTGCAGAAGGTCCTTACACAAGTGTTGTAAGCCACACAAATGAATTTGTATCCTTTGCATAATGCCTTCATCCCACAAGTGGTATAAATCACCATGGATGTTTTAAAATTGAAAATAGATATAAATTTAATTGCCTCATCCAGACTGGGATGCTGTGGACTCCTTGTTCTAATCTAATATTCATTGCTCCCCAATGTCAGTTCAGTGATTGTACATCATCACAGTGATCCCTTGTTCTAATCTAATATTCATTGCTCCCCAATGTCAGTTCAGTGATTGTACATCATCACAGTGATCTACACCTTTTGCAGAAGGTCCTTACACAAGTGTTGTAAGCCACACAAATGAATTTGTATCCTTTGCATAATGCCTTCATCCCACAAGTGGTTTAAATCACCATGGATGTTTTAAAATTGAAAATAGATATAAATTTAATTGCCTCATCCAGAC